GAAACTTAGAAAAAACAGAGGGGATAGGCATGCAGAAATATTCAGAATTAAATGAAGGTTTGGAGACTATTTTTATTCCATCTGATGACAAAATTTGTATTGGTGATGAAGATCAAGGAATATCAACCACCAGTCAAAATATTCAACTGTGACTGTTGAACTTTTTTTAAAATGATGTTTGTATGTGTTATAGTGTCTCTTTGGGAACAAGTCATAAATATTCATTTATTGTAAGGGTTTTCCAGTAATCCCAAGGCTTTATTAGTTTTTCTCTCAATTTAGACAGTGGGACTAACTTTTGAATGTAGAAATTCCTATTTTTCCTTTAACATTCCTATTAAGAAATCTTTCAGATTATGTATGTGGTCAGCATAGTAACGTGACTCCCCTCCAACCCCAAGCACACCCAAAGATGTGAATATATTTTTACCTGGCAAAGGGGAATTAACATTGTAGGTGGAATTAAGATTCCTAACCAGCTGACCTTAAATAGGGAGGTTATCTTGGATTATTCAGGTGGGCTAAGTGTGAGCACAAGAGTCTCTGAAGGTGGAAGAGGAAGCGAACCAGAGAGGTGGCAGCTGAGGGGTTCAGCTTGATACTGCTGGCTTCGGAGATGGAGGAAGGGGCCGCAAACCAAGGAATGCAGGCAGCCTCTCTCTAGACGCTGGAAAAGCTTTCACCCCAAAAGCCTGCCAAAGGAATGCAGCCCTGCCAACACCTTGATTTTAGCCTCATGAAATCCACTTTAGACTTCTGACTGACGGAACTGTAAGATAATACATTTTTGTTGTTTTTAACTAAGTTTGTGGTCACATTTGTTGTTAGTGATAGAAAACTAATATATAGACTCATTCATTTAAAATAATAATCTGTTATTTTATAAAACCATGATTTTTGACATTTCTTAGGGTATGCTGAATATGCTTTTTTGAAACTGATGTTGACTCTGATGGAAGTAAGGTAACTGAGCAAGGAGAGAATCGTGTACCAAAGAATCACTTTAGTGGCTCACTGAATTATTTTCTAGTAGTTTCAAATGTATAAACTTCTGGAAGGCAGGGACTATATCTGGTCTTTATTTCTCATGATGGTCTTTTTTATATATAGTGGTTAGCCCAGTGCCAGAAATGTTTAACTGAAAAATGCTAATACAATTTCTTATTAAGACTGTAAGCTCTTTAGTGTTGAACATGTGTCTGGAGCTTAGTAGATACTCTGATTTATTGTATCTGCTATTATGAAGGACAGAGTGGTTGTAGCTAAGTGATAGAATTCTGACTGCAATATCTGGTCTTTGATGAAAGTAAAACTAAAATGGCACATTGATACACTGCAAAACCAAGAAAACAAAGAAATTATTGATCACACTTGCATGTTTTCAGAATAAATTGTTAGAAAAATCAGGTGTCTCAGTAACTATGTATGTATCTATCAACTTGATCCTTCTTTAAATGATACCAAGAATATCAACCCTTAACTTCCCTTCTAAGTGTCTTGTAATAGTTATGTGTGATCCAAGTGCGCACACAGCACTAGACTAGTGGAACGGATGCTTCTCTAAAGCCAAGGGTGGCCTTAATTAGGGTGGGGAAAGAGGGTAAGAGTCAGCAGAGGAATAGTGGAGACGAAGGGTAAATCATAGGGGCCTAATTTGACTCTAGAAATATGCACAGCTTCTTGTTGTGGTTTAATGGATGTAACTTAAAAGTTTTTTTTTTTACTATAGTTGTTTTACAATGTTGTTAGTTTCTGCTGTATAGCAAAGTCTATCAGCTATACGTATACATAAATCCACTCTTTTTAAGATTCTTTTCCCATGTAGGTCATTGTAGAGTACTGACTAGAGTTCCCTGTGCTATACGGTAGGTTATTAGTTATCTGTATTTTATATACAGTGGTGTGGAAAGTACCTTTTTCATTGTACCCACTGACAGACGTAGCAGACGCACTTTCATGTACTTATTCATATCATAGTTCTGGAGTCTAGGGTACATTAGTATAATTAAATACACAAATATTCTGAAAGCACTGATAATCACACTGGCCCCTATCTCGTAATTTTGTCTAGAATATGACTTTGGAAATTATCCTGGAAATTATTAAAGTGTATGAAGCTCTGCAGTATTTTAAATGTCTGAAATATTCATTTAAAAAATCTATTAAACCTGATAACCTACTTTCCTTGTGGGTATATGAGACAAGATAGTTTTTGTTTTGCCTTTAAAAACTTTTTTTCTTTAAAAAATATTCTTGGCACGGGTACTTGGAAATAGTAGTGGTGGTTTATTTGCTAAGTTGTGTCTGACTCTTGCAACCCCATGGACTGTAGCCTGCCAGGTTCCTCTCTGTCCACGAGATTCTCCAGCCAAGAATACTGGAGTGGGTTGCCATTTCAGTAGGTAATAAATAATTCACAACTGAGAGACTATGTGAGGGGTGGGAGACTATGTGAACTGGGAGACTATAATGGCACAATACTGGTTAAAGAAAGACAATAAAACCACTTCTTTCAATCGTATTTAGATACAAATAGAATTTGTAGCTATTAAATGTATATTATATTTAAGATACAACTAGATTACTATACAAATAATATGTAAATATAGTTTATTATGCACAACTAGAAATAAAATGTGAATCACCAGTGCTGTGGGTTCAAAACAGCATGTTTGGACCACGAAAAGCAACATCTTATCAGAATCAAAACTCAGTTTCTCCACACAGACAGTAGCTGATATACTGCTCTGTCATTCTTCATATCAGGTATTCAGAAACATTTATTACTGCATTAGGAACACTGAAGGAGAACACACTAACATATGCACATTGTATTTTCAGTGAAATGTTTGTGATAAATGAAAACCATTTTGAAGAAAGGAGTTTAAATATTTTGTGACATTTCAGAATCCTTTCTTCCTTTACTACATCCTCTACTTTTGCTCTGTCCATTTTATCTTTAGTCCCATGATTTTCCTTGGGTAGATGGGTAGGCTGAGTGGGCAGTGGTCATGGATCTTATCTCAAAGAAGAGCTATAAGAGAAGGAAAAGCACTGAGCTTTTTACATCCAGGTGGTAATCCTGATTTTGTCATTAAATAGCTCTGGGATACTGATGGAACTGAAGCTCTTTACCTTGTTCCTGTCTGTAAATTTGAAAATAAGAGAAACGAGACTATGGCTCCTTCCAGCTCCAGTTTCCACCAGTTTTTCTTTTCTAAACTGAATAATCTCCAGCACAAGGCTACTCTGGTACGTCAACATCCCTGGACTGTTTTGGTGCTTTTTGGTCTGATGACAGAAGAGGGTCTGCAGACAACAAATCAATGATGTAACTGTAAGCAGATAATGAAGCTGGCTGACTCCATGAATGGACAAGAGGCGACTGGAAAGGAAAAGTTTACCTCTTTCACATGCCCCTGAGACAAAGATGTGTAAGACTATGAAGGAGGTCAGTTCATTGCACTAGAAGGAACTGATTATGTGTGGAGCAAATGCTGAAAGTTGTAGCTCTCAATAACCGTATCTGCACACACATATATTCATTTTTCCATGCTGGTTATCAGTTATTCAGGATAGGAGTCCTGTTAAATTATACTGATTCCTAGTTACTGGCTTAGTAACAAGAATTTAACTAGGGCCATAATGCACTGATAAAGATAGGAGTACAGAAGACATTTACCACATATTGTTACCTTTAATTAAAATAACTTCATAATTTTTAAAGTACTTTCACATATCTTCTGTGTTTTGTTTTCATTACAATTATGAAAGGCAGTGAGGACAGCCAATACATCTCCAGGTTACAGGGAAAGAAGCTGAGACTCAGAAAAATTAAGGAGCAGCTTTTGCATCAAAAGGTCAGACGTTTGTAGATGATGAAGCTGAGGTCAGGTCCAGCTACTCTTCCTGCTAGTCCAGTGTTCTATGCAAACTGCCACCTTGTCACCTTACAATGCATGATGCTGATTAGAGACCATGTGGATGGTTCCCCATCTTACATCATCACCATCTGAAAAGCAACTTACTGCAATGTTCTGACTCAGACCTCTTAAATGACTTTAAAAAGCTGACCTCTAGCCTCTGGGATGTGAAAATGTTAAGGGATAATGAGAGGGCCGTAAAAACATACTGACAGCACTAAAGAGAAAATTATTTTCACAAGTACCTAGTGATGGAAAAGGTTACTTACATGCCCTGGCACACCCATAGAGCAATCAGAGTCAGCCTGTCTTTTGAATATTTGCTTTTAGAACATGATTAAGCCTGCTCAAAGTTTTTGTTCTTTTAAGAGGATCATTAGAAGTATTCAAAAAGTTTATCCACAATATTGTTTGAATTTAAATGTACCAGAATTTTTTTGTGTTCCCAACATGTCAAAACAATTCTAAAGTACTAATCAATTATCAGTCATCCATTTTTTTTTCAACATTTCTGTTTTTTCTAAAAGGAAATTCTCTTTCCTAGTTTCTAAAGTAACCTGACAAATAGAATTTTTAAAATAATGAATTATACCAAAATTAAAATTGTTTCTTTTCTTTCAGAATTTGAGCCCAAACCCTAATCTAAAATTTTTACATTTAAACTATATAAGGTTACCTTTCCCATTTAGGTAATTCTGCCTTTTTCCATTGAAATAAATACCTTGGCTATATGTACATACTGCTGAGGGCCTTGCAAGGGCCTTGCGTAAGGATCAATTCAGTTCAGTTCAGTTGTTCAGTCACGTCCAACTCTTTGTGACCCCACGGACTGCAGCACGCCAAGCCTCCCTGTCCATCACTAACTCCCAGAGTTTTCTCAAACTCATGTCCATTGAGTCAGTGATGCCATCCAACCATCTCATCCTCTGTCTTCCCCTTTTCCTCCTGCATTCAATCTTTCCCAGCATCAGGGTCTTTTCAAAAGAGTCAGGATAAGACTAACTTTATCACAACAAGGAATGAGTTTAGAAAAATATTAACATATGAAGTTATCCAACCATTTTATACAAAACATCTTTAATTTGTACAGGTGTGGCATTTTTGGAATAATCGTTCCACAGACGATAGGAATGTCTCTGCAAACTCCTGATCGGAGAATCTGCTTACAGACGCACGGGCACTGTTTCTGATTTGGAGCCTCTGTTCTGCAGACATGGAAAGAATATGGGCCATAGTCTCAGCATAGGCCTCTTCACTTTCAGCCAGGAATCCAGTCCTCTCGCCGTGGTGAGGAACAACAATGTCAAGCTTCGGGCCCCCCGAATTGTGTGCGAGGACAATCATGCCGGCTGCCATACACTCAACAATTCCTGAGGAACAGAAATAAAGTCTTTTAAGTCTCTGAATGTGCTCCTAAGAACAAGGACGAGCAGAACCCTTTACAAATTGAAAAAGACTCGAGCAATTTAAGTAAATGTCTGTGTCTCTCCAAATTTACTCATTTAATTTCTCTGGTGCAAAATAAAATGTAAGTTTTTCAGTTTTCAAGGCTTCAAAATAATGCTGCTTTGTTCTTTATTAAAACAGACAAGTAGTCGCAAGAATTGTCTTAAAAAAAAAAACTACTGCAGATAATAAAACAAAGACTGGAGAATGTTATTAGCAAGATCGTAGATAATGGATATTAAAAGATAAAAGGTGTAAAAAAAGATTTAAAAAAAACCCCAGTATGTTAACAGTTCAAATTACAGCACTAGGAGAAAAAAAGGAAAAAAGTAAGCCATCTTAGTGACACATTCTAAGTAAGGCTGGTGTTTATGTTACTATTTGGATTTCTGGCAAATTTGAGAGAATTATGTGCCCAAAAGCAGCACTGAACTATATTAAAGTTTTGGTTAGTCTCTGCCAATGATATAGCTGAGGATATAAATCTGGCCTGCCTTTCTTAACCATGTTTCTAGAGAGAACTAAGCCCTTCAGTAAATGATTTAGGTGACTTCTTTCCTACTTCTCCAAAGGAAGGTACAGAGCTGCTATTATCCTAAACATACGGGAGAGAAATGAAACCATCACAACTCTCTTCAACACTGGTGAAATCTCTACAGAACAGAATCTTCTGGTAATGTTTTGATTTGAACTCTTATTTGAAAAATATGAATTACACCATTTCAAGGCTGCATACCATTCCTCTATACTTAGACAAAGTCTTAGAGACTTTGACCTCATCAGTCTTACCCTCTCCAGAAACTTCCACCTCTCCCTCTACTGGCCCTTCCTATCAGCACTTAAGCTAGTTCAAACTCATAAAAGCAAAGCCCCTGTGAGTGCATGCACACACACTCACCCTCTCTCCAAGTCACAAGCCGTCCCCTGGCACTGTCTCTCCTTCCGTCTCTGTTTTGCAGATAGCTCGGGGCCAGTGTGGTCTGAGCTCACCAGCTCCGCTAGCTCACCTGCACTCAGGGCTCCCTCACCGCCCCCGGCCCTCTGCCCACTGCTCCAATGACACCGCTCTCGCCCAGGGCGCCCACCACGTCTTCATCTCGCCCAGCATCTCAGCAGCACTGAAATCTTCGCTGTTCTCCTTCTCCCCTCAACCCTCTCCTCCCGTGGTTTCCACGACTGCTCTGCCTGGCGTTCCCCCTCTTCTCCTTCGCTGGCCGCTCTTCTGCCAACTTGTGACCTGTTGCTGTTACACTCCGGGCAGCCTCTGGCTCTCCAGACTCCCCCGTGCCATCCTGGCCACGGCCACAGGGCTGCGGTCACTCACTGAACAAGTCCTCACTCTGCTCCCAGGTCAGGCCCCTCCCCTTACTTCAGACTCACATGTGCTACAGCTGCTGGAAACACACTCACACGTCCCGCAGCCAATCCCCCCTCCAAGTGCGCGAGACTCGGCGCCTCACCGGCCTCCGCTCTTGGCTGCCTCTCGGGGGTGAAAGTCTCCACCCTTAACAAGGTCGTCCAAACCCAACACCTGAGGCCATTCCAATAGAGCATCAAATAATAAAAAAACCCGAAAGAATAAAAGAACCACCAGAATCAATAGAAGAATAAAAAAAGTGACTGGGAAGAGCCCACCTGGGGACAGGGGTTCTCAGCTCCTGGGGCACAATAGAATCACCAGAGAGGCTTTACCGCATCTCCGCCTGCACCCACCCAGGGATCCTGATGTGGCCCCCGGGTGGGGGGCTAGGATGAGGCCCAGGGATCTAAACCAGCACACAGACGGGGTGAAGTGTGGAGAGAAATGTGGGAGTTAAGAGCAGGCGCTGTCTGGATTAGAATCTGCCCTCTTCTATTACTGTGGGACTGGGCAAGTTCTAAACTCTGTGTCGTTGCTAAGATGGAAATAACCATAATACCTATAAAGTCCTAGAGAGGATTAAATAAGATAATACTTGTAAAGACCTTGAAAGTAACTACCATACAGTGAGTGGTCAAAAATATTATCATTGGGTAAATGTTTTGTGTTAGGTTGCTCAGTCATGTCCGACTCTTTGTGACCCCATGGACTGTAGCCCACCAGGCTCCTCTGTCCAAGGAATTCTCCAGGCAAGAATACTGGAGTGGGTTGCCATGCCCTTCTCCAGGAGATCTTTCTGACCCAGGGATCAAACCCAGGTCGCCTGCCCTGGGGGCAGATTCTGAGCCACCAGGGTATATGTTTTACAGGGTCTCAAATGAGGAAAACGCACTTGGTGGACTCTGGGAAGAGACTGGGGACTGGCTGAAATCAGAGTATTATTATTTTTTTCAAAACCACCGAAAATGTGTTATCTAATCTCACCACCACAAATTGTTTACAGCACAAACTCACCAATCCCAAAATGCTCGTTCCACATGGTATGCAGACCAATTGTTGCTTCAGACAAGTAATTCTTTAACTCATCAAAAGGAATGTTTATTTTAAATTCCACGTCTTCTTGAACTCCGAGGTCCTCAGCAAGCCTTCTCAGTTGGTTTACCCTGAGTTCATCATCTTGGTTACGACAACCTCCAATGAGCACAAGTTTAAGTGGAGGAAGAGGTTCACTCTCCTTCTTATTCAACAATTTAGCAAAGGCTCTGATCTGCAAAGGATGGTTCTTTTCAGGCCTGAACTGGCCAATCGAAACCAGTAAGTGTTCCGAGGTTGCCTTCTCCTCATGTAAGGGAAGATCCAAGAATGTCTGTACATCACAAGGTGGATAAACAATATTAGTGCAGTTCCCAACCTTCCACAGTGAGAGAATATGGTTCAGTGTCCAAGAAGAATTGACCATGACGATGTCACTGCAAGAACCAACAAGCCCATACATAAAAGCAAATAAATAGTAGTAGATGAGCTTTACTTTGCTGAGAAAAGGATTCCTGGTAATGAAGGCTGCGTTGTTAAATCCCACATTCTGATTCTTCACGACGGAGAGCATGTCTGTGCTGATGGTGGGGTAATGAACGTAGCTTCCAACTCGGCAACCACCTAGATACTTAAACAGAGGAAGCGTGAATGCGTAGCCCATTGAATCAATGTAAACATCAGGAACACACTGCATCAGAGCTTCCCAGCCCAGGAAAATAGATCCCAGACTTTGGCCCAGCAGTGTGAAATGAGGATAGAGTGAATCTTCCACAAGGTAGCGCTTCCTTAAGAAAACAAACTTCACTGGGCGAGTTAACCTGATGTTAAATCTTCTGAAAGCACCTTCCAGTATTTGTTGGCCACTGACGTTGGCATCGCCAGTATAAACAACATAAAGTGCTTCTGGATACCTAAAATAAGGTAAGAATTTCAGTAGTTTAGGTGAAAACAAGCAAAGCACTGTAGATCATCATTTTTCTCATGATCATAAACAAGCTTATTTTCAGACTAAGAAAAATGTTTTCCACTGATTTTATGACTCCACTCTACCTGGGGTCTTTCACTGCCCTACAACTAAAACGTTAGTCTTCCAAAGGAAACTTCTATATCTTTGCTATTCCCTCTACTAAGGGTTTTGCATATAGCAGACATCAACAAAATAGCTGTATTTATAAATGAGGCATTTTCATTCTTAAGAAATGTTCAAAAATGTTATTTTGAGAACTTTCTCAGTATTAAAATGATGATTTAGCTTGTGCTCAGTCACGTTCAACTCTTTGCGACGCCAAGGACTATAGCCTGCCAGGCTCCCCTGTCCATGAGATTTTCCAAGCAAGAATACTGGAGTGGGTTGCCATTTCCTTCTCCAGGGGATCTTCCTGAACCAGGAATTGAACCCACATCTCCTGCATCTCCTGCATTGTCAAGAGGATTCTTTACCACTGAGCCTGTAATAGAATATTAATAAAATATTCATAAACAAGAATTAACATTCACAAAAGGTAGTTAACATTCACTAAAAGTATCTTTGAGGAGGGCATGGCAACCCACTGCAGTATTCTTGCCTGGAGCATCCCCAGTGACAGAGGAGCCTACAGTCCATGAGATTGCACATTCAGACATGACCGAGCGACTGAGCACAGCACAGCACAAAGGTACCTTTAGACAGGATCATAAATGCTAAAGCATTACTCAGGGATTTTTTTTGTCTGTCATCTCTTTATTTTTAACTTCTTATTTTGTACTTGGGTATAGCTAATTAACAATGTCGTGACAGTTTCAAGTGAACAGTGAAGGGACTCAGTCATACAAACACATGTATCCATTCTCCCCCAAACTCCGCTCCCATCCAGGCTGCCACATAACATTAACTCAGGGTTTTAATCTGAGAAATGCACAAAGGTTTTAAAAGCTGGGCCTTGAGCCTGCATCACAATTATATATAATGAAAATATGGAAAAACACCTTCTTGTGATTTTAACACTCTGGTTGTATTTACAATTATTCTCTGAGTCATACAGAGAATGGGGAGACTGAATGAAAATCCAGTGTCCTGGATCTCACGTCGAGTCAGGAAAGATTTGTAGGAACTATCTAAGGAGAAACAGGTTGTTTCAGGAAAAAAAGGAACACTAGGTGAAAAGACAAGGAATCTTAAAAAGGTATGTGCCCCAAGTTCAGTAGGCTAGAGCAAAGTATGTGTTAGAGGGGTGAGGAGAGATGAGAGACAAAAAGTGGCAAGAGAAAGATGCAAAAGCATCTTCCATGTCGTACTCATTATTTGGATTTTTGTTTGTTTACTTGTTAGTGAGCTGGAGGAGTAACAGGGGTTGAGGGGGAGTACGAGTACAAATCTCGTGACACTTGACCACTGCTCTCACAAGTTCAGTAATCCAGAGACAAGGCTAATGCACACTGCCCTGAGAAAGAAAGAAGAGCAGGGGCTAGAGCAGGGCAGGCTTCAAGGAGGTGGGGTTAATACAGGATTTAATAAAGTTCTCTGCATTTAGCGAGTTATGGGAGATGGCAGAAGACACACAGAAATGGTGGCTATAAGCCAAGATGGGGCTTAGAATAGAGAAACAGAAAGCTGAGGGCATTACTCATGAGGACTTTGAAACTGAATGAAGGGTGTGTGCCAGGAAGTAGGGTCACCATGGAGAGATAACAGTCTTCCTTAGATGATAAAACAATAATGGAACCTGTGTTTTGCTATGCTGTTTCTTGTGGGACTGGAGTGGGGAGAAGGAAGCCTAAAACATTAAAAGATGTGTAAAACCAAATTCTTTCTATTAAATAACATGGTACCTTACTTAAGACTATCCAACTGGTAATGATATGAAAATCAGAATCAAATAGATGCTTTCATAGAGAATATTTGCTGTGTATCACCACTGACTAAAAGTATTCAAAGTATTAAAACACTTCATAGTATTTGGTCTATTTCTTATTCAATCTCCTCCACATACCAGTTGATATATGTCTCCATAAGGTGATCAGTTATCCCCAGTAAATTATGCCATAAAAGGGCAGATACTTTGTTTCTTTATCATATCAATGGTAAAGATAAAATTCAATGGGATATTAAAAAAAAAGATTTACTTATTCATATATTTTTGGTTCCACTGGGTCTTAGTTGCTGCACACAGGCTTTCTCCAGTTGTGGCTAGCGGGGGGGCTATTCGTCCTTGTGGTGCATGGGCTTCTTAGAACAGCGGCTTCTCTTGTTGCAGAACACAGGCTGCAGGCATGCGGGCTTCAGTACTTGCGGTGTGGGGGCTCTGGAGCACTGGCTCAGTAAGTTGCGGCACACAGGGCTCGGTTGCTCCACAGCATGTGAGAACCTCCCAGACCACGGGTTGAACCCGTGATCCCTGCACTGGCAGACAGATTCTCAACCTCTAGACCACCAGGGAAGCCCTTCAATAGGATCTTATAAGATAGGTCGGCATATGAAAGAAGTGGTTCCTTGCTAAAGAATAGTTTTAAAAAGGAGTCCCTGGCTAGGAATAAGGTATTAGGAAAGACACATTCTGGGTAATGATTTTTTAAAAACAGTAATAATATACCAAATTAGCCAGGGAAGATGGATACCTACTTTTTCTGTAGAGCCCTTAAGGCACACCATAACACTCTTTCTCCGCCTCCGCCAGCATCGCAGTATGGATGGAAAAATGCAATCACTGTTTGATTTTTCCCAGTTTTGCTAGATGACGCTGACTTTTTCTTTCTCTGTAGCAGCAGTCGGAGACTCCAAAGGACAATAAGTAAACACACACACAAAGTTCCAAATACGAATAGCCCAGGCAAAAGTAATGAATAAAAAAACCTGAAACGAGAGGGGAATGGTGAAAATGGATATCATGTCATTAAAAAATGGTACTGATGAACCTATTTGCAGGGCAGCAATAGAGACAAAAACATACAGAACAGACTTGTGGACACAGTACGGGAAGGAGAGGGTGGGACAAATTCAGAGGGGCAGTGAAACATATAGGTTACCTATGTAAAACAGCCAGCCAGTGGGAATTTGCTGTATGATGCAGGGAGCTCAACCTGGTGCTCTGTGACAACCTAGGGGGTGCGATGGGGTGGGTAGTGGAAGGGAGGTTCAAGCGGGAGGGGACATATGTATACGGATGGCTGATTCACGTATGGCAGAAACCAATACAACACTGTAAAGCAACTATCCTTCAATTAAAAATAAATAAAAATAATAGTAGTAAAAAATGAGAGGCTACAAATTGAAGTCTAGTTTCACATAACTTTTATATATTAGCAGCAAAGAAAGAAAATTTTATAGCTTGTGAGTATAACAAAATACTCAGCTATTAAAATTCTACAAATTTTACAAAATATCTAATGTCAAAAGTGCAAGTCCCCTTTAATTCCACAGAGTGCTGGCAAGTCAATGTACTTTTTCCTTTTTAATCAGCAGTAAAAATCAATGTTGGTCCATCTTTCTCCTAATTCAGTATATGTAGTATTAAAGGATTAAAATAAATTTAATTATTAACCTAAATAAGATATGACTGGGAATGGCATCTGACCCCAAGATGACAACACGTAATCCAAAGACATATGTCTTCCAAATGGTGAGTATTCCACAGTTCAAAGTTTGGTAAGATACTAAATCATTTATCTTCTCTCACTCCATCTCAAGTAGAATAATTTTTGAGGGAAGAGGAAACTCAGATGTCTCCAATTCTATTCTGAGTTCTATGTCTGATCTGTTTACATGACCCTGAAACCACTGCTTCCCTGAATGTTTCTGAACCTGTTACTTTTTTTGTTTTGTTTTCTTTTCTTAGCTACCACACAGCTTGAGGGATCCCTGAACACTTCCGGAAAGTTGAAGTGCGGAGTCCTAACCACTGGACTGCCAGGGAAGTCCCAGTCACTTGTTTTCTTTGAAGCAAGAGTCAATTCCTTCATTTTCCAGAAAATATCTACTAAATACCGAGTCAAAGGAATCATGGTTTGTCTGTCAGTTGTTCTTCCACATAAGAACTGTGTCCTCTAAAAAGTGTGTCTGTTTCACCTTGCAACGTAGACAGTCATACAAGAGGTTTTCCTTAAGACAACTATTTTACTCTGGTATGGAGAAGTGCTTTATGTGTTCAATCCATTTTATCATATAGAATATTAGAAAGATATGTATTCAAGGGTTTCGATTTAACAGAATTAATAATTTTTACTGCTTCCTCAAGGACATTTTAAAGAAAAACTGGCTTTATCAAGTGCATGGAGGTGAAAAGCACAATGACTACTAGTACAGTTTGAGAACACTGCCTTGATTTGTGCTAAGTAGTGGTTTTATCCACCAAGACTTTTGCACAATCAGTGCAAATGTCAACAAAATGAAAATTGTGTCCTCTAAACATTATATAAAAATAATTTTTACCTAGAGGAGTCGCTGAAAGGGTCCTAGGGACTCTCAGGTGCCTACAAACCACAATGAACCACAATTTAAGAACCACTGCTGGGAAGAAATGGATAAAAAGTTTGACAGAAGTGGTAAGACTGGCCACTTAACATTTGGAATATATCAGTTCATGAAAGCAATATTATCTTAAACAGTTAGCTTTCCTTTCCAGGACAAGACAAGAAGCTGTTTAATTTAAAATGCTGCTGACTCACAGAATCCAGATTTCCATGACATTTTCTTCAAATGACTTAAGTGGGAAAATAAATGTGATAGGATTTTCAAACCGAACTATTCAACCTCCAATCAGAAAAAAATCATATTAATCACTAAAGCTAACCCAGTTCTTTTGTTTTCAATCTGCTAGTTTCAAAGATACACATACAGCTTCTATTAAGAAATTTATCAAACATCCTACCGTACTTGTACGTCAAAACTACTCACGTAGAATTTGTTTAAATATAACTAAAATGTGTCATTAAATATTTACTCATATTTAAGCACAAGACTTTGAAAAGGTAAGTGTAATCAACCGTGAGTCATTCCATTCAGCAAAATTTTTATTTAGTCATTATCATGTGCAAAGCAGGGAGTTAAGGATATTTCAAACAGCAGAGAAGAATATGAAGGCTCTGAAAATAGACTTTCTTGTTGGAATGTTTTAAATAATCATTACAGAATTTGAACTAGGGGGGACAAAAGTGAAAAAGAAATAATACCTGAATTCTGGAGAGAGTACATATACACTGCTATTCAGGATGCTATCATATTAATGATAAATTTTCAACCTGAACAAAAATACATAGGTGTTAAAATGTCTTCTGTTTTATTAGTGTAAGTCAACACACACAAAATACAGTAGAATTACAACAACAAACGTGGCAAAAGGGTCTGGGAGTTTTTCACCAAATTGTTACCAATAGTTTATCTCTGGATTGTAGCACTTCTGAAGACTTATTTTTTGCACAGATATTTCCTAACTTTTCTACCAAAAAAAAACCCCTCACAATGTATTATCTACGCAATAAAGACAAAAAGGTAGCTTCCCTGGTGGCTCAGACGGTAAAGAATCCGCCTGCAATGCGGGAGACCTTGGTTGGATCCCTGTGTTGGGAAGATCCCTTGGAGGAGGGCATGGCAACCTACTCCAGTGTTCTTGCCCGGAGGATCCCCAAGGACAAAGGAGGCTGGCGGGCTCGCAGAAAGCCGGACAAGACTGAGCAACTAAGCACAGCACACAGGAAATATCTTATATAACTACATTTACATCAATCAGAAAAGAAATCAAAGGAAAATCAAGACGAGGCCGCAACATAAACTTGACATTAAAATGACATATGTTAACAATGATAGTTTCGATGAGTGAAAGAGGGCAAACTAAGATAACAGAAGATCCGGTTTCTTCTTCACCAAAAAGAGCATGATAAAATGGAGAATGAATTCGTAGCTCAATCATAAAGGAAAATGAGGAACGAATATGAATAATATAAATTATTATTCAATAACAGGCTAATTGGAGTGAGCACAAGAGAAAGGAAAAGCTAAACCAAAGAGGAAAAGCGAGCTCTCAGAGAGCAGTGAGGCAGTGAAAGTAAACGCGGTAAACCGGGTCTTCAACTCAACTTTCTCGTCTATCCACAAGACCCCAAACGGAAGGCTCACTGGCCTTCAGAAGACAGCTTAAATTCATGACAAGGAAAGCCCCTGCCCGCACACATTAGTCGCACTGGGCAGACAAGTAGCACTGCAGTACCGAAAACGCCTGCGAGCCCACACCACCCGCTCCTCACCTCAATAACTCGCACAGGCACCAACGCCTTTCAGCAGACGCCATCTTCCGCCGACCCTCGAACTCAGGAAGCGCTTCGTCGTTCCTCTTCTCTATTGGCTCCTGAGGAACCTTGCGGCACTCCCCCCGCCCACACGGGGCCGACTGTGCACCTCAATTGGCTGCCGGTAGTAGCTTCCCACGGCCCTCCAGCCAATAGAATCTCCAAGGGAGTGGACGAGTTTTCCGCGTGGCGTCCTGAGTCCAGGCCCCCTCGTGGGCGGAGCCGTGGGGGGAGTGGGGCATGGGGAGGGCGTGGCCTGTGATGGACAGTCAGTGCACCCGCCCTCGGCCCCCTCCCCCACCGAAGCCCCTGCTCCGGCGCCCCGGCCCCTATTCTAGAGCCCCGCCGCCGGTCGGAAACCAATGGGAGGCTCTTGCGCGTCTGGGATCGATTTTCTAGGTGCGGAGTTCACAACCGCAGCAGCTGCAGCGTTTCAGAGCCGCGGCGCCCTGGAGTCAGGCGCGGAGCCCCAGAGGGAGCTGCGCGGAACGGACCCAACGGTGACCCCCGCCACGCCGCACCTTCCTGGCCGGCAGTGGGCGAGCCTGGGGATCTGCATCTCCGGCCCGGGTCTGCGCGGTTCGACCTCGCTCCTTTTCTCCCTTGGCACACGCCCAAGGCTGAAGACAGACCGAGGCCAGAGCGCACCGGTCTAGGAGGTAGCGGAGATCCGTGAGGGGGGACGGGCCCGCCCTGCCTGGGTTCAACTCGGCCGAGGACACTCGAGCACCGACAGGCCCGTCTCCGGGTGTGGGCGAGGGTCTATGGGTGTGGGTGAGGGTCTCCGGGTGTGGGTGAGGGTCTCCGGCCCACCCTCCCCTCAAGCTCTCTTCCCTGCGCCCCCCAGGGCCAGGGGCGGACTGGCGCGCAAGTTTGAATTAGCCGGTGGGGGTCGAGCTGCAGATTCCTCCTCTGAAATGCAGGTGCCGGATTGGGTTAGAACCGAACCACGAGGATGCCACCCACGGCGCGCTCCTACTCTCCCTGCGTTTTAACACCGCGCTTCTCGTCCCCTGACCAGGTGACCTTGGGCTCCGAGCTGAATCACAGAAGAAATTAGTTCCTCCGCGAGATGAAGCCAGAGGAGGAGAGACTGATTACAGATCGCGAAAAGGCCAGCCGGAGAGTGAGTTACCTTCCCGGGGTGCTGTGTGCGCACACCTGCCTAGAGGACCTTCTGCGCTCACCTAACCATCCTTGCTGCGCTCGGCGCGTGGTGTGCGCGGGGGAGACTCCTCGGCGCGTGGTTTGTTAGAGAACACCCTTTAGAAAGGGCGTGCTAATAACTGGTTTTCAGTAACAGTTTAAAACCCAACACTTTTCTGTTCGTCGGATGTTGAGGAGTTTGATGCTGGAGAGGTAAAGTGAGAGTTGAGTTGTTTTGTAAGATCCCTGATTGCCCAGTTCGACAGCTAATTTTAGCTAATTTTAGATGTCCTGAAAAGTTCGTCAAGAATTGGTGCATCGACCCTTCATGGTCTATCCAGGTCCCGTGGTGGTGTTTTGTTGTTGTTGTTTGTTTTTGAAGAACTATTTTGAATTCATTTAAATTATGCAAGTAATTTAGTGGTCTCTTAAAAACAGGACACAAATATTTAGCAAGAAAAGCAAATCTATTTTCCAGTGTTTTTCTGCTCATGTTCATAGGTCTTCATTCAGCAAATACTTAATGAAAACTTAACATTTCTCAGGCACAGTTTTGGAAAAGGAAATGCAGTGGTGTTCACATACCTGTTATGTTAATGCATATCTGTATCTCCAGAGAAATCTTTAGGTTCTTGTGTATGTGGTTTTAGAATATTTGTTAGTATTAATCACCTAGTTGTGTCCAGTTCTTTTCGACCCAATGGACTGACTGTAGACTGCCAGGCTCCTCTGTCCATGCAATTCTCCAGGAGAGAATACTGGAGTAGGTGACCATTCCCTTCTCCAGGGGGTCTTCCCCACCCAGGGATCTGAACCTGGGTCTCAGACATTGCAGGTGGATTCTTCACCATCTGAGCCACCAGTGAAGGTTTTACCTAAAGGAGATCATGTAGTGTGTGTGTGTGTGTGTGTGTTTTACCTAAAGGAGATAATGTAGTATGTGTCTGTGTGTGTTCCAGTCTAACAGTATATTTTGGAGATTGTTTCATGTTAGTACATAAGTGTCTGTGTAACTTAGTTTTACCTCTGCACAGCATGGATGCTCCATAGTGTATTTCTTCTTTTCCCATGGGTAGACATTCTGATTGCTTCTATTTTTTCTCTCTCACAAATCATGCTGTAGTGGACATTGTTGTACGTGATTTTTCATGCTGACCTTTGAGTATTTCTCTAGGATAGATACCTGTGCTTAGTCACTTCAGTTGTGTCCAACTCTCTACAACCCTATGGACTGTAGCCCCACCCCAGGCTGCCCTGTCCAAGAGATTCTCCAGGCAGGAATACTGGAGTGGGTTGCTGTTTCCTCCTCCGGGGATCTTCCTGACCCAGGGATTGAACTCAAGTTTCCTGCATCTCCTGCATTGCAGGCAGATTCTTTACTGCTGAGCCACCGGGGAAGCCCAGGATAGACGCCTAGGCCAGGGTTGCTGATCTGAAGAATAGACTGTGCCTTTCCTACAGATTGCTGAAATTCATTGGACAGCATTATTGGACTCCCTTTTGGGGTGAAATTCATCCAGGCCCTGGTTGTGTAGAAAGGAAGGAAAAATGGATTATGGATGGGCAGAGAGAGGCTGCTCAATAGTTGGTTCTTACTGGGATGACTCTGCATTTAATGGAGGAGCAGGGAGAACACCAGTGGGGGAGGGGCAACTCATAGAGGAGACTTAAAACTCTTAGGGTGCCCTCACCACTCTGTCCAGTAAAAAAAATCATTATCTTTCCAGATCAAGCTGAAGACCTGCCTCTTCTTGACACTCTGTAACTGTCTCTGTTCATGCCTGCCTCACCCTCTTCTGGATTCCATTGATAACGCTGTCAGCCAACATGATTGAGCTTCCCATGTGCTGAGCCCTGTGTTTGAGCACTTTCCACTCCTCTCTGTTCACGCTCATTCAGTCCTCACAAAACCTTTTGATGTAGGTATTTTCTCATCTTCACCATTTATTTGACAGTTTTTTTCAGTACAGGCATACCTTAGAGATATTGCACTTCAGTTCCAGACCACCACAGTAACGCAAACAGGCATTGTTTGGTTTCCCAGTACATATAAAAGCTGTGTTTACACCATGCTGTCATCTGTAAAGAAGGCTGAACGCTGAAGAATTGATGCTTTTGAACTGTGGTGTTGGAGAAGACTCTTGAGAGTCCTTGGACTGCAAGGAGATCAAACCAGTCCATCCTAAAGAAAATCAATCCTGAATATTCTTTGGAAGAACTGATGCTGAAGCATCAATCCTTTGGCCACCTGCTGCAAAGAGCTGACTCATTGGAAAAGACCCTGATGCTGGGAAAGATTGAAGGCAGGAGGAGAAGAGGATGACAGAGGATGAGATGGTTGGATGGCATCACTGACTAAATGGACATGAGTTTGAGCAAGCTCTGGGAGATGGTGAGGGACAGGGAGGTCTGGCGTGCTGCCATTCATGGTGTCACAAAGAATCAGACACGACTGAGCTACTGAACAACAACAACAAAGTGTACAATAGCAGTTTGTCTAAAAAATGTACACATCCTAATTTAAAAATAACTTGATTGCTGAAAAATGCTAACCATCATCTGAGCCTTCAGTGAATCATAAGCTTTTTGCCAGTGGAGGGTCTTACCACTACCAGCTAAGAATTGTCACTCGCCACATGATTCTACAAGTATGAAGCCTCTAGCCCCTGCAACTGTTGCCCTTCATCGCACCCTGAAAAGAGTTCAGGGCAGAGATCAGGAATGAGGTACTCTGTGCTCTCAGAAAACTAGCAGAACAGGCCTTCAGATAGTTAGGTATTTTCAGATTTTATGAGCCCAGTTTCTTGCATCTTCTCATACCTAGGAAAACACTAAAATCATAGTAGAGACCTCTGCTCCATGTGACTGGCAGCAAGCAATCTTCTCGAAAGATGTGTACTTAACTGCATGTATCCCCTTTCCCTAAAATCATATGTATACCCTGACTCCCCCCACTTTGCAGCAGTTCCTTGGAGCTACCTCATTGTAGGCCCACATGAAACTTAACTCACAACTCTCAGTCTGAGCTTTTTTTTTTTGGTCAATACCTCATCGTTAATGGCTGCTGGCTGATCAGGGTGGTGTTTGCTGAAGGTCAGGGGTGGCTGTGGCAGTTTCTTAAAATAAGACAACAGTGAAGTTTGCCACACCGATCGACCCTTCCTTTTATGAACGATTTCTCTGTTTGATAGCATTTTACCCACAGGAGAACTTCTTTCAAAATTGGAGTCAGTCCTCTCAAACCTTGCCATGATTTAATCAACTAGTTTGATAAAGTTTACTAAATCCTTTTTTGTCATTTCAGCGGGTCTTCACAGCCTCTATACCAGGAGTAGATTACATCTATGAACAAACCACAGTCTTTGTTCATTCATAAGAAGCAGCTCCTCTTCCATGAAAGTTTATCATAAGATTGCAGCAATTCACTCACTTCTTCAGGCTCCCCTCTAATTCTGCTTTGCTTGCTTTTCCCTGGAAGCTCAGCTGGTAAAGAATCCACCTGCAATGCAGGAGATCCCAGTTCGATTCCTGGGTCGGGAAGATCTGCTGGAGAAGGGGTAGGCTACCCACTCCAGTATTCTTGGGCTTCCCTGGTGTCTCAGCTGGTAAAGAATTCGCCTGCAATGCGGGAGACCTGCGTTCAATCCCTGTGTTGGGAAGATTCCCTGGAGAAGGGAAAGGCTACCCACTCCAGTATTCTGGCCTGGAGAATTCCATGGCTGTATAGTCCGTGGGGTCGCAAAGAGTCAGACACTACTGAATGACTTTCACTCACTTACTCACGCTTGCTTTTCTACCACATCTGCAGTTACTTCCCTCATTAAAGTCTTGAACCCCTCAAAGTCATCCTTGAGGG